TGCCCTCTCCTTTGGGGGGGTCTCTCATGGCACTTGGTGTGAGGGGATGGGACCCCCTCGGCTTTGGTGGGGGGGTCTCATAATATTGAATGTGAGGAGATGGTCCCCCCTCTCCTTTGGGGGGGGTCTCTCATGGCACCTGTTGTGAGGGAATGGGACCCCCTCTGCTTTGGGGGGTCCCTCTCATGGCACCAGGTGTAAGGGGATGGGACCCCCTCTCATTTGGGGGGTCCTTCTAATGGCACCGGGTGTAAGGGGATGGGACCCTGGATTTGAGGGGACGGGACCCTCTCAGCTTCGGGTTGGTCTCATGGCTCTTGGTGTGAGGGGATCGGACCCCCTCTGCTTTGGGGGGGGTCTCTCTCGTGGCACTTGATGTGAGGGGATGGGACCCTCTCGGCTTTGGTGGGGGGTCTCATGATACTGAATGTGAGGAGATGGGACCCCCTCTGCTTTGGGGGTCCCTCATGGCATCTAGTGTGAGGGGATGGGACCCCCTCTCATTTGAGGGGTCCCTCTCGTGGCACCAGGTGTGAGGGGATGGGACCCCCTCTTCTTTGGGGGGTCCCTCTCATGGCACCAAATGTAAGGGGATGGGACCCCTTCTCATTTGGGGGGTCCCTCTCATGGCACCAGGTGTGAGGGGATGGGACCTCCTTGGCTTTGGGGGGGGTCTCACATGGCACTAAAGTGAGCAGACGAAAATCCCTCTCTTCTGTTTTTTGGGGATCCCTCATGGCACTGAGTGTGGAAGGGTGGGGTCCCCTTTGCATGACACTGAGTGTGAGGGGGTAGCACCCCATCTACATTGAGGGGGGAACTCCAGGGTGAGGGAGCTCCCCCCATGATACCACAAGTGAGGGATGAGGCCCCTTAGTTTGCCCCCCCCCCCCCCCCCATAGCAATGAGCTTTGGGCTCAATCCCCACAGTTTTGATCAAAGGAGAATACTCAGCCAGAGGGGGGGTCTCCAGCCTTTGGGGGAGGGGGGCTAGGGTCCCCTTCAGCTGGGGTTCCCCATCTCTGCAGTGGGTGTCCTGAGAACTGGGTTTTTGCAGAATTTGAGGTGCAGGGGGGGTGGGAATTTCTTGGCCCTGTAGCAGATAGTTGTGCCCCTCTTGAAGTGGGGTGAGCTCCCTGGGGTTTTTTTTCACTCTACTGAGACTGTGCCTCTTGGTGAGGGATCCTGTTTAGAGCATCGATCACCTGCAGCAAGATGGGGGTGGAGGGATAGACTTTCCTCCTTGTGCCTGAGCAGAGAACCTGAACTTGGTGATTCCCACCCCAAAAATTTCCCCCAGAAGTGGTCTGCCTCCTTGGGTGAGGTGCTGGGGGGGAGGATACTGGTTTAGCTGGTTCTTTGCTGTAACAGGAGCTGCAGTGACCCCCCCTTCTCTTAACAGATGGACGCCAGGAGCGTGTCATGTTTGACAAGATCACATCACGTATCCAGAAGCTCTGCTACGGGCTCAACGCCGACTTTGTCGATCCCGTGAGTCTGGCCTTTTCCCCGCTGTCCCTTTGTCTGCCCCTTGTGTTCTCTGCTCTAGAAGCCAGCAGCACTAAGTGGGTCTTACCCGTTTATTTTCCTTGGCAAAAGCCAAGCAGGGTGGCCTGTGCAGGAGCTCTTGGAAAACGCATTCATAAGATCTGTCTTCTAATTGTGTTCTGAGTTTTTTTTTCATTTACAGATACAGAGTCTGAGACTGTGGTGGAGGAAAATCAGCTTACCTATTGGAAATCACTTTTACCTCAATTGTTAGAATCATAGAATCATAGAATCATTGAGGTTGGAAGAGACCCTTGGGATCATCGAGTCCAACCATCTCCCCTACTCTACAAAGCCCTCCCCTACACCATGTCCCTCAGCACTGCATCTAAACGGCCCTTAAACACAGCCAGGGATGGGGACTCCCCCCCCTCCCTGGGCAGCCTGTTCCAATGCCCGACCACTCTTTGGGTGAAAAATTCCTTCCTAATGTTCAGTCTAAACCTCCCCTGTTGGAGCTTGAAGCCGTTCCCTCTCGTTCTGTCACTAATTACCTGTGAGAAGAGACCAGCACCAACCTCTCTACAGTGTCCTTTCACGAAGTTGTAGAGAGTGATGAGGTCTCCCCTCAGCCTCCTCTTCCTCACACTAAACAGTCCCAACTCCCTCAGCCGCTCCTCATATGATTTGTTTTCCAGCCCCCTCACCAGCTTCGTTGCCCTCCTCTGCACTCGCTCCAGCACCTCGATATCTCTCTTGTTGAAGCAGTTGAGATTCTTGTGCTTAAAAAATAAAAAAAAGAGTTGTTTGTTGCTCCAACTCACATAGTTTGGTTTTGGTAGATCACTCTCAATTTCAATTTGCAAAGCTGGAGGAATAGGATACGGAAAGTAGCTCTTGATGCTTTCTAAGTAGAACAAGGTGACCTTTCTGTCTGACAGAGCTCCCCCTGTCAATAGAATATCCCTACTTTGTTTTTTCTAGCTGTGTAGGATGCATGTTTTCCCACCCATGTAAACTCTTCCTTCTAAAGCTGCTCAGAGAATGACTTCCTTGTGGACCCATTGATTTAGTGATGGTTTTTATCAGAGTTAGGTTGATGGTCGGACTAGATGATCTTAAAGTTCCTTCCAACCTCGTCAATTCTATGAGTTCCAATTCTATGATCTCTGTGAGATTTTTATGCAGATGTGCAGACCCAGTTTGTTCATTTGGAGTTGCCAGCTCAGGCTCTTCCCATCTCCAAGATCTAAAGATCTCTTTTTATGTCTTAAATTACATGTGAAAAATACGTGACATTTATTCTGCATTAAAAAGTGCTGCTCTTCAGTAGACAGAGCAGGAGGACGAGCGTTGGTGACTCGGTGACTGAAACCCAAAGTGCACTGGCTTATCTCTGTGACACAGAGGACAGATGATGAGGACAGAAACAAGATTCTGATTCCTCCTGACTCTTAATACCCCTTTCTTAACAACGAAGCTAATCTTACATGAAGCACCACACTCTTATTTATTCTGCAGTAGCGTGTGACACCTCTCTGGAGCCAAGTTTCTCCTTTTGGACTTGGATCTCCTTGTACCCGATGCTTTAGGAACCAACATTAAAAATCCCTGACCCAACACACTTGCTTTGAGAGAGCGAGGTCTGAAAATGATACGTGCTAGTTTTCTGAGGCTGTTGGCACTTCAAATGTTGGCTCAGGCTTCTCCTCTCCAGTGCAGAATATACTCTTGTAGTGCTCAGTGCTAAATGAGAGAGAAAAGCAGAAAAGTCTACTTTAGAGTTGGTAGATGCAAAAGTCTCTTCCCACAGGAGGTCCTGTCTGGCAGACAAAGATTAGGTGAAGCCGTTGTATCCCCTAAGGGATATCCCCTAAGGGTTGGGTTTTTTTGCTCTTGTCATGAAATAATTTGAAGTGTAGGCGTTCCGTGTCTTATCAAGTATTTATAAAAAGTCAGGCTTCATTTGGAGTTTCAAAACTTCCAAGCCAGTACTGTTTTAACCTGATGTTTCTCCCTGTGGACTCTGCTGCTGCTCTGTTCCAGCCTCTGAGAAAGTGTCTGCAGAGAAAAAACAGTTCCAGACTGACACCTCCTGCTTCCCTCACTCTTTCCTCCCTCTCCCTTCTGCCCCTGTATTGCTTTAAAATACTTGGTATTTTAATTTACTTTTCTATTCCAGCAGAGTGAATGGTTCTGCTTATAGCGAAGCAAATCTTACATCTTAAATGGTTGAAACATCAGCATTTTTCGTTTTTTCTCCCCAGCAACAGGTATGTAACCTCTGGATTTTCTCTTTTTTAGGCACAGATCACCATGAAGGTGATTCAGGGGCTGTACAGCGGTGTCACCACGGTGGAGCTGGACACTCTGGCTGCGGAGACGGCGGCCACCCTGACCACCAAGCACCCCGACTACGCCATCCTGGCGGCCAGGATCGCCGTCTCCAACCTGCACAAAGAAACCAAGAAGGTCTTCAGTGGTGAGTCCCTCCGGGGACACTCGGGTAGCAGTTAGTCAGAAAGGGAGTGGGAGTTTTAGAGGATATAAATATGGAAATCTCTTTGTGAAGCAGAAGTTACTAAGTCCCCAGGGGAACTAAAAATGCCATGGAGATGAAAAACGGGAGTTTCAGGCATCGCAAGGAAAATGAAATTGCCTGTTTTCTGAAAAGTATCTGTATAAATAGATTGATGAAAAATGTAACTGATTGAAAGTAGGTTGCACCCACTTTCTTTCCCATTTATTATGTGTTATGAATTCTATGAAAAAAACCACTGTAAGAGAAGTGCATTTTTAAGGTTTAGGGGAGGGGCTCTTTATCAGGGAGTGCAGCAATAGGATGAGGGGGAATGGTTTTAAATTGAAAGAGGAGAGATTTAGATACCAGAAAGAACTTGTTTGGTGTGAGGGTGGTGAGAGCCTGGCCCAGGTTGCCCCAAGAAGCTGTGGCTGCCCCAAGAAGCTGTGGCTGCCCCATCCCTGGAGGGGTTCAAGGGCAGGTTGGAGGGGGCTTGGAGCAACCTGCTCTGGTGGGAGGTGTCCCCTGCCCACAGCAGGTGTGGTGGAACTCAATGATCTTTAAGGTCCCCTCCAACTCAAACCATTCTATGATTCTATAAGGTTAACAGATTAGTAATAGTACTGAGCAGATAGAAGAAAAGTTGTATGTTTTAGAGCTGGAGGTGGGTATTTTTGGGGATGGGGAGTCCTGGCTGTTAAATCCTTGAGAGCAGATGAAAGATGATGCCCATGTCAGTCTGTGGATGTCCTTTCTGTTGCAGATGTGATGGACGATCTCTACAACTACGTAAACCCTCACAACGGGAAGCATTCGCCAATGATCTCCAAAGAAACTCTAGACATAGTCCTGGCCAACAAAGATGTATGTAACCTTTTTTTCCCCCAACTTCTAAGTTTTAAAAATTCAGTGAACTAGTTCAAGTAACTCATTTTTCCTTAATTTGAAGTCCTCCATGTCCATTTTAGGACAAAAAGCCAATGCAGAGACCAGTAACTGCTGTGTTCTGCAGCGTTTAAAAGAGGCGATGTAGGAATTTCCTTCACAGAAGGATGTTTCTTCAGTAGAATCTTGTTTTCTTGGATGTCCTCATAGTGAGGATCAGCACAACTCATGAATTTGAGGAAAGAGTGCCTTTTGGTGTTCCAGTCTGTTTTGTGTGCACAGAAGGGAGAGATGGGGTTTGGGTTCTGGTGTCAAATTGTTCCAGCTCAGTCTTCTTACGGGGAAGTGACGTTCACCTTTTGATTCTATCTCCTGTTTCTTGGTGTCTGGTGAGACTCCAGGAAAACGTAGCCAATAATTGTGGATTGTACTTGGGGAAAAAACCTGTTAAAACTGTGTGTGTGTTGTTTCAAGCAAAGTGCCCTGCCCAGCTGTGTTCCCTCTGAGCTGAGATCTGTTTCACTAGACCTTTGAGGCCAGAAATGCCAAACAATGATAACGTTGTTGTACCTTCATGTGAGACACACAAAAAATCTGATTGTGAATGTAAATTTCTCTCTCTTATTTCCTCTCAGCGGCTGAATTCTGCCATTATCTATGACAGAGACTTCTCCTACAACTATTTTGGTTTTAAGGTAAAAAGCACATTACTCATGATAATGAGGGCTGCTGTTTTGATACTGTTTCGGAGCGGAGTCTTTTGGGAAGGATGGGAATACTTGCAGAATCATCTAGATTTGGGCACAGAGGGCACTGGAGTAGGTGGGACGTTAGTGGGTTTGTTAAAAAATGAAGAATACCTGCACAAAGCCATTCTCTGAGTGAATCATGTTCTTTTGCCTTGGCTTCCTTGTGTGCCCTTGGCTGCTTTAATATTTTAAGTGCTGGGCTCTAACTGTTTCTCAGAAGATAGCACTGAACATTGTTGAAAGCTTCCCAGCTCCTGCCATTCCTCGAGGAAGTAATCTCATTCTTACTAGACCAAAAAAGGCAATTTTTGGTTTTCCCCCTGGTTTGGTGTAACAGTTGTTCTCAGCGTGTCATCCCACGCCTTTGTTGTCTTCCGCGTTGCTGGAACGGCTCCCCCACAACCAGGCTGGTTCCTCTGCCCCCTCCATCTGCTCCTCCTGCTCCCCTTGAAACGGCCTGTTCTTGGCTGAGCTGTTTTGGGACACAAGGCCATGGGTTTTGGGACACAAGGCCATGGGTTTTGGGAAGGTCAGCAGGAAGTGGGTTTTGGGACACAAGGCCGTGGGTTTTGGGACACAAGGCCATGGGTTTTGAGAGGGTCGGCAGGAGAGCATTTGGCTTTTCCATAGCACCGGGTGCTTCGGATCTTGTGAATCTTGTGAATCACCTCGAGTACTGTGTCCAGTTTTGGGCCCCCTACCATAAAAAAGACATTGAGGTGCTGGAGCGGGTCCAGAGAAGGGCATCAAAGATGGTGAGGGGTCTGGAGAATAAGTCTTATGAGGAGAGGCTGAGGGAGCTGGGGTTCTTCAGCCTGGAGAAGAGGAGGCTGAGGGGAGACCTTCTTGCTCTCTACAACTCCCTGAAAGGAGGGGGTAGAGAGGTGGGGGTCGGGCTCTTTTCTCAAGTCACAGGCAACAGGACAAGAGGAAATGGCCTCAAGTTGCACCAGGGGAGGTTCAGGCTGGATATTAGGAAAAATTTTTTCACTGAAAGGGTTCTCAGACACTGGAATGGGCTGCCCAGGGAGGGGGTTGAGGCCCCATCCCTGGAGGGGTTCAAAAGCCGGGTTGATGTAGTGCTGGGAGGTCTGGTTTAGTGATGATGCTCCTTGTTTGTTGTGTGGGTGTCTATTTTTGTCAGTCGGGTTGACGGTTGGACAAGATGATCTTTAAGGTCCCTTCCAACCTAGAAGATTCTGTGATTCTGTGATTATATAGCTGATGGTGCTTTAAGGAGGGATGGGGTGGTGGAGAATGAGCACTTCCATGTCAAGAGGGAGAGTGGAATCCTGTGGCTGCGTGGTCCATCACCACCCCATAATCCAAATTATGGATTCCTCAGTGGTGGAATCTTACACTGGACTTCTGGGTTTTTTGAGTCATTAGTTACCTAATACCCTATGCCTTTAGCGAGAGGAGGAGTGGAGAGCAGGGCTGGTGCTTCTCTTGAAGCCTGGGATAAAGGAACATGAAGATGCTTGAATTTGGAGTTAGTAGGATTTTTTTATATATCTGAAATCTGCATGTCCACTGAAATGCATCCTCTCTTTTGTTTTAAAGACTCTAGAACGCTCCTACTTGCTGAAAATCAACTCAAAAGGTAAGAACTGTCTCTATCAGCTTCAAGTATTATTTAAAAGTGAAGACCAAGGCTCAGAGCAGGGGTTGAGGAGTCAAATGGGCTCCCTCATAGTTTTCTGTGTGCTGGCAGCCCAGAAAGCCCCCCCCAACCCTGGGCTGCATCCCCAGCAGCGTGGCCAGCAGGGCCAGGGGGGGATTCTGCCCCTCTGCTCCCATGGGGTGAGGAGCACTGGTGGGATGACTTGCTTACGCATGCCACAGAGTGAGGACAGAGTTGAAGAGAGCCAAGTGAAAACTGGTTAATTTTGTGAAAGGCAGTGGTGTTAGCATGCTGGCAGAGATATAGTTAAAATAGTTGCATATTATGACATGCCTACTAAAATTCATACAATGTTTAGGGTTTAAATAACTTCTTACATAAAAAAAACCTTTCCAAAAGGTCCTGGGAAGGTGATGGAGAGACTCATTCTAGATGTCATCTCCAAACAAGTTGAAGAGTGGGGGGTTATTGGAAGTGGGCAACACGGGTTTGCCAAGGGTAAATCATGTATGACCAATCTGATAGCCTTCTATGATGCCATAACCGGTTGGTTGGATGAGGGGAGGGCAGCAGATGTCATCTACTTTGACTTCAGCAAGGCTTTTGACACTGTCTCCCATAACATCCTCATTGGAAAATTAAAATGAGATTGTTGGTTTGTGGGTGGGTGTGATGTGGTGGGGTGTTGTGTTTTTTGTTTTGTTGTTGGTGTGTTTGGGGGCTTTGGGGTTTTTTTAATTGGTTGTGGGTTTGTTTTTTTTTTTAAGGTTGGACTCGCTGATCTCAGAGGTCACCTCCAACCATGGTGATTCTGTGATTCTGTGACAGTATTAAACTGAAAGAGGGGAGATGGAGATGAGATGTGGGGAAGAACTTGTTTGGTGGGAGGGTGGGGAGAGCCTGGCCCAGGTTGCCCAGAGAAGCTGTGGCTGCCCCATCCCTGGAGGGGTTCAAGGCCAGGTTGGAGGGGGCTTGGAGCAACCAGCTCTGGTGGGAGGTGTCCCTTCTGAGGGCAGGGGCAGGGGGTGGCACTAGGTGGCCTTTAAGGTCCCTTTCAACCCAAACTGTTCCGTGATTCCATCTCCAAACATATTCATCTCCAAACATATTGAAGACAAGTTATTGGAAGTGGTCAACACGGGTTTACCAAGGGTAAATCATGCTTGACCAATCTGATAGCCTTCTGTGATGTTATAACTGGATGGCTGGATGAGGGGAGAGCAGCAGATGTCATCTACCTTGACTTCAGCAAGACTTTTGACACTGTCTCCCACAACATCCTTATTAGAAAATTAAAAGTGTGGGCTAGATGAGTGGGCAGTGGGGTGGCTTGAGTCCTGGCTGTGTGACAGAACTCAGAGGGTTGTCATTAATGGAGCAGGGTCAAGTTGGAGGCCTGTAACCAGCGGTGACCCCCAGAGGTCAATACTCGGCCCAGTCCTGGTCAACATATTCATCAATGACCTGGACAAGGGGACAGAGTGTATCCTCAGCAAGTTTGCTGATGATACCAAACTGGGAGGACTGGCTGACACCCCAGAGGGCTGTGCTGCCATCCAGCGTGATCTGGACAGGCTGGAGAGCTGGGCAGAGAAGAACCTCATGAGGTTCAACAAGGACAAATGTAAAGTCCTGCACCTGGGGAGGAAGAACCCCAGGCACCAATATAGGTTAGGGGTGGATCTTCTGGGAAGTACTACAGAGGAAAAAGATCTGGGAGTCCTGGTGGATGGCAGGATCTCCATGAGCCAGCAATGGGCCCTGGTGGCCAAGGCGGCCAATGGCATCCTGGGGGGCATCAGGAAGAGCATGACCAGCAGGTGGAGGGAGGTCATCCTGCCCCTCTGCTCTGCCCTGGGGAGGCCCCAGCTGGAGCACTGGGACCAGTTCTGGGCTCCCCAGTTCCAGAAGAACAGGGAACTACTGGAGAGGGGACAGGAGATGGCTACAAAGATGATGAGGGGACCAGAACATCTCTGTTACGAGGAAAGGCTGAGGAACTTGGATCTTTTTAGTCTGGAGAAGAGAAGGCTGAGGGGGGATCTGATCAACACCTCTAAATACTTCAAGGGTGGGTGTCAGGAGGATGGGGCCAGTCTTTTTTCAGTGGTGCCCAGGGACAGGACAAGAGGAAATGGGCACAAACTTGAACATGGGAAGTTCCACCTGGACATGAATCATAGAATCATAGAATTTCCCAGGCCGGAAGGGACCTCCAAGGGTCATCTAGTCCGACCTCCCCGCAGTCAGCAGGGACACCCCCAACTAGACCAGGTTGCCCAGGGCCTCGTCGAGCCTCTCCTTGAATATCTC